AAGTCCCATGTTAAGAGATATAACGATAATCAGGCAATATATGTGGAAACACATGATTCATCAAAAAAAAAAAAAAAGTGAGAATATATAAATTTAATAGACTAGTCTTTTGAATTCAATACAATGCCTAAACCAAATGAATAATTGCATTTTAATCGCAAGCTCCAGTAGAAATCCATGAGTTAAGTCTTAGGACTTTTGAATGGAAAATCAAATCTCATTGGTTGTGGTAGAGCAAGGGCCTATGGCATCTAACTAATTAGGCAATTAGCCTAAGAGTGCATGATCAAGAAACCTCAACCTAATAAGGCGTCTCAAGTATACATACTAAATTTTATTCACAAAAACTAACCCGATCACCCGAACCATAAATACTAAAAAAAAAAAACTCAAATTTTATTCACAAGCTTCTGCCAGCCCCATATCCCAACAGAAGAGAGTTTCTCAACCTAGCAATATTCTGATTCTTTCATGGTAGTAATCCAAACCCTTACGGGATCTTACCATCTGAAAGCCAAAAATGCGCATCAGACATTGTTCTCTTTTTGTTTTTGTGTTAGTCTTCCTTTCCTTCTAAGTTTCTAATCACCAGCTCTATATATCTGCAAGAAATGTAAGAAAAGAAAAGAGAAATGATCCATAACTCTTTCAAATAAGCCCATTAACTTTGATGGGCCGCAGCCCACTAGGTAGACTTTAAATTATTCCATTTCTGTCCCAATCTTTTGTCTTTTTGATGGTCCTGTCCCAAATCCTTTTTTGTCTTTAATCATGTAACATTACATTACATTGGTCCTTAAACAGCACCCCAAAAAAAAAAAAAAAAAAAAAAAAAAAAAACAGAAGCAACCTTTGATAGCCTCTCCAATTAAACCCATTTCGTTTATCTTCTTTCTCAAGAGTAACATCAGTTTTTTCAAAGACAGGCTATCAACATTAATATTAAAAAAAATTTATGTAAATTTAAAACCCTTTGATGGATTTTACCTATCTTTCTTTTAATGTGGAATCAAAGACAAATAGCTTCTGAAACTCTAATGATTAATGGGTCTTGTCTCATGTAACTTTTAGATACGTTAAGTTTAAGCCCTAATGATGGGAGAAGAGAATCCAAACACTCTTTGAAATTCAGTGCACGCAACTGTGAAGTCATTAATGTCGGCAGCCCACTCGTATCCTGTTAGAGCACATAATACATGAAGAAATGGAATGGAAAATAATAGCCGTCTAAGACAAGTTTCACTGTCTTTTTCACAAACAGGAGGAGGTCCGGATGGATGAATGCTTTCACAGTTCACACGCACTCTCTAATGATAAGGCAGCCTAGTTCCTTAGATTGGGACACCCATTTTTGGCACCATTTCCAAAATACATAAAGTATGATCGTCTAATTATAAACCATACAATTAAAAAATAGTTATATTCTTTTTAAACTCTCTCTACTTATCTTGAAATTTGAAACACAAATTCAAGTTCACCAGTAGATTCCCAAGGAGACATTTTCGCTTAGTGGTTGTTCTCCCTCCATTTTGTCTTCAATGAAGCGGTTCCCATAACCTAGATTTTGATGACATTTTCTCTGCTTTGAAAATGCTAAAGTAACAGAAATCATTACGCGTAATCCTATTATACAAGACTTTGAAGTTATACTCAAATAACGCTTTTACTACAAAATTGCCTTGATACATTTTAACCCTAATCAAAAGGACTACATAAAGGCTAAAGCAAGCAGGTAAAAGTTATAATTTACACTTTTTTTTTTAAGAAAAGAAAGAAAGAAAAAGAAAGTGATAATTCAACCAAACCTTGGAGAATTGTCAATGAAGAGGCCCCATGGGTCCTAACTGCTCTTATCTTCCTTTCTTTTTTAACTAATACCTTTTTGCTTTCTTCTTATGTCTGGAAATTCAATAAAAGGGGAAAAGAGAATGACTCACAGGGGGGAGAGCTCATCAGAAAAGCATCTCAACATCCTCGAGGACACATGTTCTCATCAAAGACGATACTTCACCAACCAGAAATCCAAACTCATCCTGCACAAGTAAACATAGGCACCAAGCTGAATGTGAAATGGACTATTGAGTTGAATTCAATGATCCAACACATTTACATGCACTTTAGTCAATATTATTAGACACCATTTTGAGGAATGAGGTGAACTTAAGCCAACTAGGACCAAAGGGCATTGTCCTATTGGCCATATATGTACACCTTGCTTGCTTTTTCCATGGAACTTGACAAGTAAACATTGCTTTTGGCTGTATTAGGCGGAACCAATTGATCCTCATCTTGTCCTGAGGACTTGAGACTTGAGATAGCACACCTCAACCAAGAAGCATTATCTTCACCTAACAAGATAAGTAAACAACTTTCCTTTTTGGTGGTAAGCGGCCCGCATTAAGGAGTCTTATCTCTATGCAATGATATTGTACTTACAATAAGGGAATGAATTTAATCATTTATTTTTCATGAATGAGATTTCATAGAGCACTATAATGGTTGAAATGATGCAGCCAAAACATCAGCAACAAGAGTTTAGTGGAGTCAACAATAGCTAACTTTGAAACCTTGATCCGGGGTTGTGGTTAGAGGTCTTTGAACCCTCACAATGAATACTCATAGTTACTACTTCATGTATATCAAAACATATGATGGGGTTAAAGGGAAAAGGCAACTTAATCCAATAAAAAGCAATAAAGTTCTAGTCCATACGCGTAGTCTATTGAGATAGATAACCTTATTCAGGTCCCTCCATGGCTTAATCATTACCACATCTCTCTGTACAGGCAGTTGTTGAGACTGATATCTCATTCAGGTCCCCCAGTAAATAGTCACTGCCATCTTTTTCTTTCAAAATGTTCGATTAAGAAGCGAATATATATAAATGTACCACAAGATCTTGGAATACTACTTCAGAAAGAACAAAATGACCAGATTCATGTTGCGTCCCCAAACTCTAGTTCTTCCTTTTGCCAACAGTTTTTCAGCCAAACCAGGACCTAGAAAAATCTACTGTAAAATTACAGACAAAACAAATAATTAGTTGTTGGCAACTTATAAATTTATAATATAATCCAAAGAATGCATTCATATCCAAAAGTTGACTAAATCTTCATAAATATCTTCAACACATGGACAGTCTTAACTAACCCAGATACATGGGGCTCCTCTCCTAGATATTTAATCAGTGGGTCAAGTGGGAAAGCAAAATCTGTACATTTCGAGGCTGAAAAAAAGGTAAGCAGTAACAATGAAAAGTATCCAACCACACTGATTCCAATGGAAACAAAAGAGAGAAAAATGTAAAAAGAGTTTGGAAAAAGTTGGAATTTCCCACTACAAATTGCAAAAAAAGTAATCCTTATATTAACTGCAGCAAAGTTAGCAGTAATTAATGGTGTACTGCCTAAAGGCGGCGAGCACTTTAAGCAGTATTATTTTCCTAGGAAGTCCAAGTACTAGGTGGTGTGCCATCAATAATCCTAGCAGCTAAAAAGATCATGTAAACCAAGTCCTAACCCTTATCAACCCCCGTAGCATGAATGAATATCTTCTCTAGTTGATTGGTGATAACAAATGAAACATTTGCCTCTTTTAAAAAAAAAATTGGTTGTTTCTTTTTTTTATAAGAGTAGCAAATTCTAATTACATTATTTTATGAGTAACAAGCAAGAGCTATATTTCTAACTTTTTCCATGCAATACATAGAGGACTCTATCAACAAGCAATTGATGGATAAAAATTTAGACAAGGGAAGGAAAGAAAGACAGGAAACCCACAAGGAACTGGAGGGTGAAGGCCATACGATACCTAACCTTGTTATTTAGAAGAATACATCAATCAACAGTCAAATGACTTTAAAGCGACTTTAAAGCAACCATGTGAGATACTTTCTACATGACCAGCTATATATCCTACCAGCCCCCATAAGTAGAGTCCTTAAACACATCCTAAAGAAATGAAAGAAAGAGGTCATCTCTTCTTTCTGTAATCAAATAGCATGCCATAAAGGGGATTTAAGGGTAAAAAGCTCAAGTGCCCAGAGATGGAGAGGAGCGAGTACTATCCAGAAGCACATGAAGCCATATCTGGAAACGTTAACTGTCCACAGCTGACACAAACTGCAAGGAAGAAGAAGAACAAGGTGAGGAACAAGAGGAGGTTTAGTGATGAGCAGATCAGATCACTGGAGTCCATTTTTGAATCAGAAACAAGGCTTGAACCAAGAAAGAAACTGCAAGTGGCTGTAGAGCTCGGGCTGCAGCCTCGCCAAGTAGCAATATGGTTTCAGAACAAGAGAGCTAGATGGAAGTCGAAACAGATAGAGCAAGAATACAGAATACTAAAAGCTAATTATGACAGCTTAGCATCACAGTTTGAGTCCTTAAAGAAAGAGAAACAGTCATTACTTGTGCAGGTAGTCCATCCTCTATTCTTCCCATATGAAAACGTAACGTTTCAATTTAGTCCAGCTTTTATTTCCTTACAAGGTCACTAACCTCTTTCCTGCTCAACAGTTGCAGATGCTGAGTGAAATGGTTGCAGAACCAGGTGTAAATAGAGAACGAGAGATTTCCAAAGGAAGCAACAGAGATATTGGTTCAGAAAATGGAGATGACAACTGCAAAGCTGATGCAAACCCAAGTATCCAGCATGTAGGAGTGGAGAAAGGGGAATACCTTGGATCACAAATTGAAGATGTTAGAGATCTTGAGCATGGAGGACATGAAGCACAAGAACTTCAAAGCATGGGTGAATACACAGATGGTTCATTAACATTACCTGAAAAATGGTATGGTTTTGATGCAGGTGGCATGATTGATCAGTCATACAACAGTTCATCAAATTGGCTGAACTTCTGGATTTAAGAAGCCACACCTACAATGGATGTTTGCTTGAAGAGTTTTCCTTAAGTGTTGATCAACTCAGTCCTTCAAAGGGAGCATGTGAGAAGCAATAATATGACGAGGGGAGGCTCCATCACTCCCTGATTAAAATGATGAACAACTGGAAAGAAAAATGGAGAAAGCACAGAAACTGGCATATGGCTGTCATCAAAATAACATAGGAACAAGAGAACAAGAAATGTCTCAGCCTAAACCTCTGTTATTTTCCAAGAATATGAGCTTGTATAGTGTGTGACAAGATGCTAGACATTTTAAAGTAGTTCAAATGTTCTATTGTGGAACCGATATCCATCTCCATTTCATTTGCTTTATCAATTATGACCATAATTCCATACCTCTACAGCATAATTATGTGGTCAAAATTGCATTTTTGATCCTTAAAAAATACGTTTAAGGGACATCACTTGAAACTTAATTCAACTACTTGACACATATCCAAAAACCCCAGCTAGTGCTTACTGATCAAATTGTTCCTGGAGAGTGGTTAATAAAAACATACTACCTAAAACCTGGCAATAGATAGAGTAGTCCATATTATACTTAAGTTCACAGGCTTCCTTTAATTAACCTACGTGGCATTTTCCCACTTAACAATCCTCAAACTTCTATTCGTATTGTGTTTTTAGAGACTAAAGACCTGATTTTTCTTTCCCATTTATGTATTGTGTTGAATTCCTCAAATTGTGGGTTATCTTGAAGTATCAATTAGTGGGTATCCAGTTCTCAACCATATAGAGATTGGAACAAGCTCTTAAAAATTCAGATATATATATATATATATATATATGCTCATGATAAACCCCATTCTGCCCAGAACCTCCAACAAGACTCCATTTTGCCTCTCAAGGCATCAGTGATTCCCCTTTTTCTCAAGAGTGTGAAATTATACTACATGATGAGAAACTAAACCGCTTACAGTAAAACAAATAATGGTAAATGCGAAAATACCTACTTGTTTAGAAATCTGGACTGTTCTCCGCAGGAAATTCCAACAAAATTTATTATTCAACACCCAAATGCGGCCTGATAAAGACAGGGAGGAATCGACATAAAACTTGGTGATTCAAGTGTCAAAAGTAATGGTATTAAATAATTTATGTTCTTTTTAACATCAGCACATGACAGTTTGGCCGAGTGGTCTAAGGCGCCAGATTTAGGCTCTGGTCCGAAAGGGCGTGGGTTCAAATCCCACAGCTGTCAATAGTTGTCCTTTTTCTCCTTTGTATATTTATGATTAGGTTAAAACCCTATTTTGGTCCCTGAACTATTATACGGACCTCCAATTTAGTCTCTGAACTAAAAAAATCCTTGATTTGGTCCCTACTATTTACCATTTTTACCCTGATTTGGTCCTTCCATTAAAATCTCACCGTTATCTCACGACAATTTAATGACATGACAAACATTTGAGACACGTCAGTTGTATAAATGAATAAATAATGACATGGTAATGTGACATGTCATGTTTTTGCCCAACCAACAAAAGTGGGGCCCACCAAAATTACGAATTTGCCATCATCTTCTTCCTCCAACAAACAAACCCAGCACCAAACAAACCCAGCACCTGGGTTGAATCGAACCCAACAATGCCCTTTTTTTTTCTTCCTCTTCCTTGCCTTGCTTTCTTCATCATTATCAAACACCAAACCCACAGAAAAAAAATATATATTTTTTTACCCCTGGTTTCGAGGAACCCAGGTGTGTTGGGTTCTTCGAACCCACGCCTGGGTTCCGTTGAACCCATGCCTGAGTTTGACGGAACCCAGCGACGAGCTAGGTTCCAAAGAACCCAGCCGCGAACCAGCTGGGTTCGAAGAACCCAAGCATGGGTTCGAGGGAACCCAACGCCTGGGTTCCTTCGAACCCAGCGCCTGGGTTCCTT